GAATTATTTTGATGGTTTTGTGGTACTGTAGATGGTGTTCTTAATTATTTAATAAGTATTTGCTGGGGATAAGTAGTTTTACATAGTGGCGCATTACACTTTTATTTACATCACCTTTTACCAGCTTTTTTTGTAAAAATAAAAGACATTGCTTCTGTCATTTTGCGTATTTTCACAAGCTAGAGTTTAAATACTTTAGCTAAACAGACAACAGAGGCCTGGGTGCCCTGAGGTTTTTTCCTTTTATGGCCTGTCAATGCAGTGGCATTTTTTCAGGCATCTTTGAGGCTGTTAAAAATTTTTCATGCAACTCAAACCTGAATTTATATATATAATTCCTTGTGTTATACATCTTCCTCCATTTACATTGACAAGTGGAAATTGGGACCTGCCCTATGGAGCAGAATTATGCGCCACATACAGTTATGATATTTATTTAACTTCATGAAAGAACTATTTCCAAACTTCCCCTGTGCAGCTTGTTCTGGTTTTAGGGAGTCCTTCCCTTTGCCATGAGCCAGTCTCTTCACCAAGAAAGCATTACAACAATTTGAGCGTGGTTCTTTTTGCTGGTTGCCCCTGTATCTGCGTCTCCAAAATGACTCAATTTTAACTACTGTGCTACCTGGTGCTAAGGTCTGTGCCAAACCCATGGTGTAAAAACAAGCAAAACATCAGACAACTGCTGTAAGGTGCAATGAATACAGCATTGAGCTAACACATGCAAAAGAGCCTCGTCATGAAAAACTTGTACAGGGCAAGTTCGAGGTACCTGTGAAGAACTGGCAGCATGAAGACAGTTCCTTTCTGCTTTGCATAATCGTATAGGTCATGCATAGCTTTTCCGTCTTTCTGCTGAGTCTAGGAACCGGTGCCCACGATATGCAGGGTATGCCATCAAGGACACGACCGGGCAGTAAAGTGGAAAAGGATAACAGAACTGTACTTTTACTGCTCAATGCCAAAGTGTTGAATACATTTATGTAAGAGGAAGGACATGTAGAGCTAATGAGGAACAACAGGATGAAGGAAAGCTTGGTTAGTATTGCTGTGCTCCTGGCTCCTCCGAGCCTCAAAACCTTGCCGTAGCTGATGAAAGTAGGGCCAGCTCTTTGCTGCTGCCACTTGGAGCCTTCCTCAACTGCTTGTTTGGACCAGCTGCTGCTGAAGCACTCCACAGAGTTCAGATCAGCTTAGGCCTGTTCTGCATCTTACCAAACAGAAGCAACTGCTGCTTTGACTGTAGTTGGTAGGGATGACAACTCTAAGATGTGCTAAGTTTCACTTCAGGCTATTACTGATAATAATTGTGTAAGAATCACCATATTCACAGCAAGTAATCCTCAAAGCCATGCTTGGGAGGACATCTGTATAAATAGGAAGCACTCAACTGCTCATACTGCTATGAGTTGCCATGTGACTTCATACTGACACAGCACAGAGCTTAAATTCCCAAACTCATTACCAAGGTGCACAGACTGATCACAGTCAGTCGTCTCCCACACTGCACATCCATCGGGAACAGGCTACAGGCATTAGAATGGGGAAGGCAAAGAGGAAAACGTATTGAAGAAGATCCTCGGAGGGAAATACGCCCAGAAATAAAGACACCCCACCCCAGTTGCAACTGCAGGCTGGGGCAGACTGGGTAGATGGCTGCAAGGGGGGGCTCCTCCTCCAGCTGGAGGCTTGCTGCTGCTCATTACTGGGACTACAGGTGAGTGCAAGGCACACACATTTACCAGAGAAAACTGCCCAGCTGCAGTTGTACTTTTCAAGCTGAGCAGGGCAAGGGTGGAGCTTACTATGAAAGTCTTTGAGTGAGCTGGTAACGCAAGGGATATTTCCTTTTACTGCAGTAACAGTGGAAAATGCCTCCGGTTAGAAGCATGAAACAAAATGGTACCCCAGCCTGAGGCTGGTGGTGGTTGGTTGTGTTTCTTCTGCAAGTGCCTCATGCTGCTATAATAATGAATGGAGCAAGGATAAATAAAATTACTTGGCAATAAATTGGTGCTGAGGCATTCAGCCTTAGCTACTGCAGCAAGTTCAAGGGGCACATTAAAATAAAGCAGGAATCTACCAGCAAAACAAGTTAAGCCTACAGAATTAACACTCACTGCCCCTCTAAATGGGGAGGTGTTGGTATAGAGTTCATCTACCCTGCCATGCACTAGCTTCCATTTAGAGATGCAAGACCACCTGGCCCTGAAGCTGTTTCACAGCATGGGCTCAGACTGTTTCCCCCTTTGGTCTTCAAAAGGGTGGCCTCCAATAAGCTGGGTACAGGTGTAGGTAGGTTATAGCCAAGATAAATCAGTCTTCCCAAATAGAAGCTACCTCAGGAGTTCTGCAAAAGGCTTTGTGCATTGTTATGCTCAATTTCAAGATTAACAAACAAACAGCTTTATTAGCATCCTGAGAAAAGTAAGTAAGTTTTCCTCAGAGTTTACCCAATTCCTTGCCTACAAGATGGATTGGCAGGGTGTAGGTTTTACAAGCTTGTGAATCTGCTCAGATGGTGATGCTGTAGTCATGGAGTAACACTTTGAAGAGTGGTGTCCCTGCAGAGGCCATTACCACTGACAGTGCCAAGAGGCCTCAGAGAGCATCATCTGGGAGTAACCACCCTGGTTCTGCCATTACTACCAACACCAGAGGTACAAGTCCTAGTTGCAAACCCAATCCCATAAGGGAGGGACTTTGATCCTTCCCTGCTGGCAGACAGCTAAACCATAGCTAGATCAAACTCTTTAAGCGTGATTTTAAGTGTGATCCACTAAGTGCACAGAGAGCTGTGCATCACCTACAGGAAGCCAGACAGATGCAGCATCACACTTTCAACCTTTGAAGCATCACTTCTCTTGGTAACCTCGTGGAAGTAAAGATGGAGACCGTAACATCAGTGACTCCCCTCCCCAGCTGTTTGTAAGAACTATCCCTGAAGATGCATAAGCCACAAGCTTTCCTTTGGCTTTAGTCTACAAAACTAGACCAGCAGCTTAGCTAAACACAGATCAGCTGTACCAGGAGTAACCTGGTTTTTACAGGTCATTTTCTAGTGATGAAGAACAGGTGCAGGAGACTTTCTATGTGGAATTGAAGTGTGCATAGTAAGTGAATGCTATTAGGTGTCTTGCTCTCGGCTACCTACTGTAGATGTCAATTTGATTAGTTCAATTAGTTCAAGGGTAGGAGCAGTAGCAGACATCCTTTCCCACCTGGGATACCACAAGGTCCTGAGTCAGTTGCTGCCAAGACCATCACCGATTCACAAAACGCTATTTGTAGGCTCTTCCCTTATTGCAAGTTACAGAAGTTGCCACGTGCACCCTCCAAGCTGGGCACAAACCCGCCTGATCATTGCTTTGCAATACTTTTATTTGTGTGCTTTCCTAGCTACACCTCACTAAGTACCTTCAAACAACAACAAAAAAGTTCTGCTCCACTTGCAGTTTTCTAGGAAAGCCCTAAGCAAAACAAAAAAAACCAACCCAAAACCAACCCTATCCCACTCAGATGATGTATTTGAAACTAAATGTGCTATCGCAGGAGAGGCGCTTCCCTTTGCATCTCCCACAGAGGTCCTGGCGGTGGGGCCTCTTGGGATCCACGTGGCGCATCTTGACGGGGCAGGTGCACCTCGTCTGCTTGCAGCTCTGGGGGAGAAGGCGGAGGTCGGCGGGCGGGGGCCGGGGCCGGCCCAGGGCAGGGCGGGCCGGGGGTCCCTTACCTGGCAGGTGATGTCCTCCACACGGTACGGGTTGTAGGACTTCTGGCAGGTCCGGCAGAACT